TACAGTAGCCGTTTTAACGGTTCTCACCGGGCTAAGTCAGTAACAAAAAAATAAATTAATTTATATATCTGCACATTTTTGGTTGTATTAGAGGAGAGAAAGAGAACAGTGATCAAAATACAACTTTAGGAGGAGGATCTATGGGTCAGACCAATCAGGGGGTGGGAGGTGGAGAGGGTGCGAGTGCGAGACTGTTTCGAGTGGTGAGGCGGTGATCCGCTTGGCGGCTTGAGATCCCATAAACTAGAACCTAGTTACTAGATTGTATAAAGAGCACTAGAGGTGCGAAATGAACTTCCGTTAGGAGAAAATAAAATTTAAGTTTTAGGAGGGGCAGAGACCAGACTCGAACCCAAGACAGTGGTTAAAGGTACGCAATTCTCTCACGGTTATGTTCTGGGTTCGCATGAAAAAGGTGCGTACCTCTCTGAATGATTTCTGGGTTCATGTCCTGGTTCCCTCACACGTGATAGAGTGCGTACCTCTCGCATTATGTTCTGGGTTCGACCCCTGCTTCAGACTGCCGTGAGAAGGGTGAGTACTGAGTACCTCTTACGTGTGTCCTGGGTTTGCAGCCCTTTCCCTGACTCTTTAACCCTCCACTGTATATATATATATATATATATATATATATATATATATATATATATATATATATATATATATATATATATATATATATATATATATATATATCGAAATAAATCTTTTGTTCAGAAGCTATTATTGTGGCGATCACAGCTCCGGCTGCGGCCATACAGATAACATCACTAATAAAAAGAAAGCTCAGCCGTTTGTACGGAGATGCAACAAAAAATCTAGTCTGAACTTTACGAAAATATCAAATAAAAGTTTCTTCAACAAGAAGGTTTACTAAAAAAAATGAGATAATTTACTTCATACGCGATTTCACATGACTTGCACTATTTGCCGCAAGGGTCTAAATACAAAGTTATTATCCTGGGCCTTGACATATGAATCACAACAGATTTACTATTTCCTGGCAATAATGGATACACTGTATATAATTTTCTGCGAACAAGAAATAAATAGAAGTGGATGTTATATTTGCATAAGCTCAGTACCTGCACATTGGTTACATGTAGAATAGATGGTCATATACGTCAGTGCTGTGTGAACTCAACGATAATATTTCACGGCACGCCAGTATTATGATCAAAATATTCTGTTTAATATGATAGAGTGTCAGTATATGATTATCGAGGAATTCTTAATACGTTTTATACTTACAAAGGTTTAAAGTGTGTTGAAGGAAATTACATGCAGGAATCTTATTTGTATTGTTATTTGGTATAATAGTTTTGTGCCCAGCTGGCTTATGATGAGGCTATATTTGTTATTATTGACGGATCTCCAGTGAATTTCGAGTATTTATTACATTATTTTTTCATAGGGGATAAACTGAAATAAACTACATTTAGTAACTTATTAACATTTACTATAATACCATCCTAATACTTATATTTTCCTTCAGAATTTAATATTTACCCCCTTCGTTGTGGTGACGGATCAGACTCCATAAATGTTTCTCACAACAATACAGTTATTCTTGTCATTAGAACCACCACTGGGTAACAGAGGACTGAGAAGCATTGTGTGGTGTTCTAAGTATACAACTGTTGTGTGTTGTACCCTACCAGGTGGCCTGATTTAAGCTCCACCTTGGTAATATCCTCAGCCAATCAGATACTGTACCTTCCTCACCCTCGTCACATTGTTTATGTTGCTAGTTTCTCTCCTTCTTGGGGACTGTTACAACTTGTTTTATTTCTTTAACTACCTTTGAAGGTAGCTAAAGGTAGAAAGGTAGGATTTGTTTCTGCTTTTCATGTTATATTCATTGTTTAGCTCTTTGCTTGAAAAAAAATAATTATTAAAATTTCCCCACTTTTATTCCCTAATACCTAGTACCCTGTACATACTGGCTCAAAATATTCCTGATAATGGTTAAATTAAAAAAAATCCAGGAGTCTTGTGCTACCTTTGATTTAGGTTAGGTACATCGACTGTATCGATCACAGGCCCATTACCATAATTTCAAGGGAGATTCTTTTTCGTTTTCGGGGCGGATTTGGGGGGTAATCGTACACACATATTTTGTCATTTATACACAATTATACTGGTTCATCTACAACCAACATACCAAACACACACGTCAGCCATAGCAGTGTTTTATAAGACCATAAGAACTCAGTGTTTATTATTCGGTTGTCTGTCGTCTTGACGCAACTAAAACACCTATGTTCCTTACTTGTTCCTCTCGACCGCAACACAGTGTATATTTCTTCACTTAAGAAGCTTATTTTCGACTATAAACTAAAATAATTCTCATCGTATCTCGTCGTGGCCTGGTGGTTAAAGCACCGACCTTGGCCTTCGGGGTCTTGAGATCAAGTCCTGGTCAGGGCGTCGTCCACAAGAACACGATTATCACACACGATTCCTTCCAGGCATGAATGAGTTCCAATTTCTTCAAGATGGTGAATCAGAAGCCTTAAGTCTCATTGTGCGTGTCCGGCTAGGTGGATTATTCTTACATTGAGAGAACAAGAGACAGTGACATTAATGATCAACACCACACTTGTTCGTTTGGGTGTGGAACTCACATTTACTTGCGTTAACTAGCCCTAGTTAACACCTCATGGTCGTCATGGATCGATCACCTTTTGGTCTCCCAGCACCTCCCTTTGGACTCCAAGCACCTTCCATCGGTTTCCTTAAGGTACTATACATTGAAGGATGGCCTCCTACCCTTAACCCTTTGGTCTTCTAACACCAGTTAATGTCCCTTAGCACCACCTGGTATCTCCTAACACCACCTGATATCTCTTAACAGCACCTTATATCACCTAACACCACCTGATATCTCTTAACAGCACCTTATATCACCTAACACCACCTGATATCACCTAGCACCACCTGATATCACCTAACAGCACCTTATATCACCTAACAGCACCTTATATCACCTAACACCACCTGATATCACCTAGCACCACCTGATATCACCTAACAGCACCTTATATCACCTAACACCACCTTATATCACCTAACACCACCTGATATCACCTAGCACCACCTGATATCACCTAGCACCACCTGATATCACCTAACACCACCTTATATCACCTAACACCACCTGATATCACCTAGCACCACCTGATATCACCTAACAGCACCTTATATCACCTAACACCACCTTATATCACCTAACACCACCTGATATCACCTAACACCACCTGATATCACCTAGCACCACCTGATACCACCAAACACGCCTGATATCACCTAGTACACCAGATATCACTTAGCACCCCTTGATATTACCGAACACCACCTGATATCACCTAGCACCACCTGATATCACCTAGCAAGACCTGATATCTCCAATGACCAGCCATTGGTTCTCCAAGCATTTCCGATCTTCTAACACCCATCCCTGATTTCCCAGGTCCCTACTCCCCGTTCTCTCATCTCCGGGCCAAGGCGTGGGCGGGTTTGCGTGGGCGTGAGGGTTTGCTGTCTTGAGGGCGCAGCATCGGTAGGTGACGCCCCGTGTACCGTACTGAGGGTGGGCGAGGTGACCCTGCTCTAGAGAGAGAGAGAGAGAGAGAGAGAGAGAATTCTATACTACCACAATCATTACTTTAACGCCAACTATAGTAAATCAACAATAAAATTATTTACGCTTATCCAACTGTAAGTTTATATAACACTTTTAATGTAAAATTATTATTATTATTATTATTATTATTATTATTATTATTATTATTATTATTATTATTATTTCAATTATTTATCATTATTATTTACCTAATGGCCTCCATTTTTTTTTATATTATAATAGTTAATATTTGTTTTGGCGTCAACCAGTTCAGCGAGATGGACGCGGATTTTTATGGTAAATTTGATGTGGTGAAAACAAATCCGCTGGCGTTTCTTACGCAAATGCATAGTTTTCCAGAAGCAACATGGGACATAACGTAAAAACGTAACTTAACCTAACGCACCATAACACAAAACAAAACAAGGAAGTGCTCTTTACGCGTCACGAAATAATTATGCAAGCACAAATAACAAGTGTTATATCAATTTACATATTAAATGCTAGTTATTTCTATATTCAATTTGAAAAATCTATCACAGTACACTTATCACTTTTTAAAAGTTTTATTGGGCGCCGAAGCGAATATTATTGATTAGTGTTGTGTTTAAAGACATTTTGAAGCATAACTGTGGCTGAACTAAAAATTTCCACAAATGGCAAGGGCTACTAGGTACAAAGGCCTACATACCTGTACTCAATTCTTAAGACGATCCACCTGTAACGGGGAATGGCGTTCGATTAAAGTTATCCTCTTGACAAATTCCGATCATTATTATTGTCTATCAGTCAAAAGTTGTACCCGATGTTATTTTAAGATTCAGAACAAGATTTTCTTAAAAGAACAGCCAGGTATTTTACCAAATGAATATCTATTTTCTTATTTATCTATTGTTTATACCTTGATAATCTTTATGATTATATTTAGTAAAATACATTTCGGGCATAAGATGTGTTTTAATAGGCCAATCAAAGCTGTCGTTCACCGGTTTATGATAATCAACAGGTGGCCACTCTAGTAAACTAATCCACAACAAATCCGATTGTGATGATGACAAGTAAACAAAGTGAACAGTATTAGATTACCACGAACAGGATAGTCTTTTGATCTCATTGTTTGGTAATGGTGGATGATCTGAATATAACCAAGCAAACTTAATATGAAGAGTCTATTGTGATTATGATTTGGTCAAAATAGGTGTAGGTAATTACTGCTAACAGAAAATATATACTGTATACAACTTTGCGTCTTCGTGGATTTTTTTTAACATTGGCTCTATTGTAAGTCATTGTGATAAGGAACATCAGTGACAGTGATTCAGTTACCTCACCGTGACTGGCAGCTCTGCAGCCGGAATATTGCCTTTAGGTGGGAATTTAGAAACTAATTACAGTAGCACAAATGTTTACTCATACGTGTAAGAGTAGTGTTGTTAGTGGACTGTTACGTTCCTCTGTTTTTAGACGAGGGAGTCACAGGTTATATGGTCGTGGTGTGATGGGCAGCACCATACAGGCGAGACCTGGTCCATGGAAGCCAACTTCAAGTAGTGTATTGTGCCGAACTTATTCCAGGCAGTATGACAATCCACTGACACCATTGATGCCTCCTGTATCAGGTTAGAATGCACTGTTTCTGTGACAAGCACTGAAACTAGGGTCAGTTTACAGGACGATTTCCTTCTAGATTATCCATGACCCGAGCGGTCCGACTAATTACCCAAATGTACCCAAATGTAACCGCAATGAAGTCAAATGATGGTCGTACAAGCGTAACTCGGGCTGTGAATCACTTCTCGATTATTATTTGGTGTCATAAAGTCACAAAAAATTGGTAAACTTAATTTAATCTGAGTTGTATTGTGTTAGGTTAGGTTAGGTAAGGTAAGGTAAGGTACATGCACTTGATCTATTAACTCAGATTAAATTAAGTTTACCAATTTTTTGTGACTTCGTGACACCAAATACCAGTTAAGAAGTGATTGGCAGTCCGATTTATTCATGTAGGACCATTATTTGACTTCATTGCGGCTACATTTGGGTAATTACTCGCTCCCTCGGTACATGCACGCGATCTATTAACTCAAATTAAATTACGTTTTCCAATTTTTTTTTACTTTGTGACACCAAATACTAGTTGAGAAGTGATTGGTATCCCGGAAATCAGGCAGGAAATATTTAAAATGTACCGCCATGGCAAACAAATGTGTTATTTGCTCACCAGAGGCGCCACCGTGACTGCTCACTCACGCATTCACGCTCGCACGCTCAGTCTTTCTGAGTGAGTGACAAGAAAGTAGCCGACTCTGCTGCAGATTACATCTTCTAAGGTGAGTGTAAATGGGTTGCTAGTGACATGAAAAGTGAAGTGAAGATAATGGAAAGCATATTGGAAAAGATTTATACCGTAACTAGTCGTCTCAGTAGCACTCAGAGAAGAACCACTTCCAGCACTAACCTTAATCTTGTCAGCGTTGGTCCGGATAGTACGCACCGTTGTAGAGGTTAGACCAAGCACAGCGGCTATGTCCACAGCACGTTCCCCCTTTTCAAATTGGGTTAATACATCCATTTTCGTATGTTGCCACTTCAGTACACTAGCATCAGTAGCACTTGATGGGCACTTGGAAGCCATTTCAAATGATTAGAGTACAGTTTTAGAGCAAAAGCACTTAAGCACGCACGAATGATGTGAAGTCATAACAGAGACTGGCTTGGCATCGCTTGGGGATGCTGTGATGTTCCTTGAGTGAGGGCAGCGTGCCGAGCCAAGAGAGCGTAGCGCGGCCAGACAAGAGCGGGTGATGCGCCGTAGAAAGTAGTCCGTGACGACGCCAAACGACGTAGTATTGGATCACCGGGACATTAAGCAAATTTTTGGTTTCTAAAGTTCAGTGACATAGTACCGAAACAACGTTAGGTGGGACGATGTTAAGCGAGGACATACTGTAATACCTAATGTATGCTATGCAGGTGATACAGTACTGTACTGCTCTTGTCGGTGATAGTGAAGAGGCATTACTGTGCAAAAATTCATGACAGATGAGTGGGAAAAAATGGTCTAAGAGATAATGCTACAGTATAAAGATAAAATTAATGGTTCTTTCCAAATTGCAAATAAATTCTAAAATAAAAATTCTGGTAGACAACAAGGAACTTAAACAAGTGGAATTTTTTTTGTATTTGGGAAGTAACATTGGCTGTGATGGTATATGTATGGAAGAAATCAAAACAAGAATAGGGCAAGCAAAGACAGCATTTAATAATATAAAATACCTAATGACAGGGGACATTAACTTCAATTTGAGTAAAAAGCTGCTGAAAGGCTTTATATGGCAAGGACTGATGTATGGGTCAGAAGCGTGGACACTAGAAACAGGTTGGTGGCTTTTGAAATGTGGTGTTACAGTATAGGCAGATGCTGAGATAAGCCACACTGATGGGACAACAAATGAAGATATATGAAGATTAGCAAAACCTTCAAGAGAAATATAGGGATCCCCTGGGTTATGGAATTTTGAAATTTTTTATAAAGTAAACAAAATGAAATTTTTAATAAAAAAAAATAAAAATAAAAAGTATTTTGTGTGGATGTATCTGTGGTAGGCTGGTAGCAAAAAGGCAGTAACAGTCCCACAACAACAACAACGGTTTCGTTCTGCTTGAATCTCCAGCCAATGTTCAGCATTCCCTCGGTTTTCTGGACTGTATTACATGTACATATTGCACTGTGTACAGTATTCTTATTCAAGATGAGTGGAAAGAGGCTATCAAGTGGAAGTGCTAGCAATGCTGATAAAAGATTCCAAAAAGGAATTGCATTGGCCATTAAACTTGATGTGTTAAGGCGGTAACTCCCAGTAACTCTGATCTCACAACCTCACCACCACCTGGAGCACTCAACATCGTTTCTGGCGAGTAAAATTCGAGTGTTTTGTTCATTTAATATCATGTTATATCATGAATGACTCATTGCATGTGGTTAAAACCTTCTGATTTCATACATACTGTACAGGTACTCCTCGACTTACGACCACCCGGAAATACGACCGCCGCAGTCGTATAAAATATTTTTCAAATTACGTATTTTCGAGTCCCGACATAGTGATCGCGCTGTGTACTGAATTTTTTTTTTTTTGTAATTCCCTTTAAAATGGCTGGCAAGCGTAAAAGTGAGAGTTCTTGTGGTGCCGAGAAGAAAAAGAGACACCATTTTAGATTTTCTATGTATTATTTTCGCATTTTCGACTTACGACCTGGTCGTCGGTCCCTAACCCCATCTTAAGTCGAGGTCTGACTGTATATGTACTCGAGTCACTTTTTGGGGCCTCAAAAATTTTCCATAGGAATGCATCTCAATTTTCTTAATGGAAGTATGTGAGAAAAATGGTTCGTGTTATGGAATTTCGCATTACAGAAAGATTTTCTAGAATGGAGCCCTTCCATAACCCGGGAGATACCTGTTCTTGAAATGTACAGAAAAAGAGAAATGAGATACAGTACTTTGGTCATATAATTAGGGATGGGGGATGATAACAGAAATATTAATGAGAGTTAAGGATAGGGGGCCAGGGGAAGGCAGAGACTGGGATGGATGAATGAAATTAAAAGCTGGGTGCCCAGCCCAAAAATGTTTAAAGTGGAGAACTGTGGTTGGCAACCCTCAGATATGAGGACAGTACTCTGATTGATTGAATATTGCAGATGTTCCATAATGCAGTACAATATTCACTGTACTGTTTGGGTAGGGTAGTAGCTACTATGGAATGTGCTTCAAAATTAAAAATGCAATTGGTGTGTAAAGGGTTTTTAAGACAGTACCTGTACTGTAATAAGTTGCTTTGTGGCTGAAGCTTTATGTACACAGCTTATTAGTAACCAAAAATTGCAAAAGCACTTCTACAGAAATTTTTTCTTGGTGTTTGATGGGTTATGCTTTTTCATGGGATTTGTGAAATTCTCAAAAAGTATTCCTTGGCAGAGCTTGCTTTCTCCAGGGGTAATCTGTATGCTCATGCTGAGACAGGGGCATGGTTTTTCCCAGCCTTAAAATGTAATTTCCATGTTCATTTTTTTCATTTTCTTGTACAATACTGTACCTGTAGAATATACAATCTTTGTTTGTACAGGAGTATATAAATACAGTAGATTCATTTATGATGTGTAACTACTGTATACTGTGCATTTATTTATATTTTTTCTTTGATTAACTGTACAATACAGTACAGGTATCAGTATGTGTAGACAAAGTTGTGCTATCTTTGTATGTATTAGTTTTCCTTTTATATTTTTTTGCTTTTCAAACAAATTTCAGAAAAGGATCAAGATACAGTTAAAGAGATGTCTGGGGAAGAAATTGACGGGACACATGTACTGGTGGATGCTCTAGTTAACCAGGGTGTTGAATATATGTTTGGAGTAAGTATACACAGTGTTTAGTTACTGTACTAACTACTTTAGTTAAATTTCTATATTAATGAATTCTCCAGCTCGATTGCTTTATTGAACATATAAAAAAATGAATGCAAATTAAATTAAAATTTTATAGTAAACTCTGATATACGGCATTTAACAAACAAACCTGAATTGTCAAGGGTTCTCATTGCAAATCCATTTTTAATCCCTTCACAACGGTGATGTAACTTTTCATATTTTGTTTGGGTAACACCAGACGATTTATTCACCACAGAGGGGATCCTGTACACAAGTGGTTAGTAGACTATCTTCACTACGTGGATGTAACTTTTAATATTTTATTTGGGTAACACCAGATAATTTATTCATCACAGAGGGGACCCTGTACAGTACAGTACACAAGAGGTTAATTAAATGTAATATGTTTTGGGGCACTCTTTTGTAGTGCAATTATTAATATAGTTATAATCAGAGCCTGCAGTCCTCCTCCAGCAAATGTGAATTTTATTTTATTTCCTCTACTTTTTATGGATTACCTGAAGATTAGACCTCCCAGCTTATTTCTCTGATGATTAAACACCTTAATGCTATGTGGGTGGCATTAGGTAAGGTCAAGTTTAAGTTGGGGTAGGTTATGTTAGGTTAGTGTTCGGGTGTTTAATCATCAAATGAAATAAGCTGATAGTATGAATGTTTATATGTTCCTTTTCATGTACCTGTGAGGTATATATACTAAAAATAATTTTATCATATCTGCTGTTTTCTAGGATAATGTCGTATTCATTATACTGTACAGTGACCCCTCGGTTAACGAACGCCTCGGTTAACGAAATTTCGGTTAACGAACTGCCTCCCATAAGATTCTTAAATTCGGTTAACGAACAAAAATTCGGTTAACGAATTTCTTACGAACCGACCTCAACATGTTTTCGCTTGCACTGGCCGGTCAATCAGCTTTAGTATTAGTCCACCAATACATTAATCGGTTCTAGGGCTTAAATTCCTTACTATTTTAGTAAATATCAAGAAGTTTATACTATTCAATAATTTTAAAAGTTTAATATTAACTTTTTTAGTCATTTTAACAATTATTGAACATAATTGAAGGTAAAGAAACTAGTTTCTGGCGTGCCATCCAGCCTGTTAACACACCAGACAGGCGTTAGTCTCTCTCTGTTTTCAGTGGAGGTAACATCTTGCTTGAGACTCTCTTCAACTAAACGCTTCTTTTCTGTGTTTCCAAGCAAATTATTGGTCATTTTGAAATATATTTTACATATTGACAATATATAATGCAGTGCAGTGTTGATTTAAAGAAAATAATCTTGAAATACACCAAGAGAAATAAAATTTTATGGGTGAAATGGTGCCATGGGGTGACTTCTCTTCCACCCCAATGCATTCTCTTCTTCCTTCTCCTCCTCCTCCCACTTCAAATGCACATCATCATCATCATCATCCAGGAGCCTTCTACATACACACCTCAAAGTAAGTGAACTTTTCTACCATTTTTGTTGAATTTAGGCAATTTTCGGTGAGCTGGAACCAATTACCCAAAAACCCATTGAAACAATGGTTTCGGTTAACGAACAGCCTGCTGGAACGGATTGTGTTCGTTAACCGAGGGACCACTGTACTGTACAGTATTGTACTATGATTTCTATAATTGAATTGTTTAAGTACTGTACTGAATTTTGTCATTGGAGTGAAATATTTTAAGGGTGCCTTAGTGTATATTGTATTTATTCACTTATGTTTCTTTACAGGTAGTGGGTATTCCTGTTATAGAAGTAGCAGTGGCAGCTCAACAAGCAGGGATTAAGTATGTTGGCATGCGGAATGAGCAGGCGGCTTGCTATGCTGCTCAAGCTATTGGTAAAAAGCAATATGGCCAGAAATTGGTACAGCACTGTATTTGTTGTAAAGTAATATGTTAATAGAAGCCACTCACAATGCTTTGAATATTAAAAAATTCAAATTTATACAGTTAGAGTACAGGTGTATGTAATTTTCATTTTATATTTTATTCTGAAAAATCATCAGTTGAGATTTATCATGTGTAAGTGCAAACTAAGATAATGCAAAAGTATACATTGACACAATTATCATTATACTGTACAGTACTTCTGGTTGTTTTTATGTTGACATTGCATCACCATAATGGAAATATTTTCCTAATGATAATATTTACCCAGCAAAACAAAGTGTCAAATACTACATACATACATATGTAGTACATAGTTAATGTAGATTTTTTTCATTAGGATTATTTTCAAATCTGGCAAGAGTTTTTCCATTTTTCACCAAGTACTGTACTGGCTCAAGCTGAAGAGAGTGTTGAACAGTGTTTGTTTATTGATTGTAAATGGAATTGTGGAAATTATTAAAGATTGAGAAAGTAAGTTTATGAACCATCTAAAGAAAACTGAATTAGGAACACTCTATTTACTATCCATTACATTGTCCCCAATGAAATACTGTATTCTTACTTTTTCCCACAGGTTACCTGACAGGGAAGCCAGGGGTGTGTTTAGTTGTGTCAGGTCCAGGGCTCCTCCACACAATTGGTGGTTTAGCCAATGCTCAGAGTAACTGTTGGCCAGTTTTGGTGATTGGTGGCTCTAGTGATGAAGACCAGGAAGGTATGGGAGCCTTTCAAGAATGTCCTCAGGTTGGTTCCTTATTCTATTGTTGGATATAAAAGAATGAAATCAAACTGTTGTCCACTAGGTAAACATATTTAAAATTTTGGTTGTCCAGTATTAACATTCATGATATCATAATCTCGTCTAATTGGCACCGACACATATTGGTGTCACTTATGAGAAAAAAATCACCAAAATTTAGTAATTCCGATTGATGGTTAAGATTTAGACAAGGCACTCCTCAAATCATTCTCTGTCATGGTAATCCAACACTAATTTATATTTTTTTCTCAGGACTGTCAATCCTGGTGCTTCTTATCTCCTTCCTCTAGCATCCAAAGTTCACTCTTCACACACGCATATAATAATGTTGGCTCAATGAATCTTCGGTACAACCTTATCTTTGTCTCTGTATATTTTTCAGTGCACACTTCATTTCCTTTTCCTAACTAATCTGTGGGTCAGTTCATCACGCATTGTCTTCTTGGTTTCCACATCACAACCAGATTACTGAAACACCTCACATCCTCCATATAGGCTGACCTTTACTACCTGTTTCCCTGACACTCTTTTACATCTTCAGTTCTTCTGCTGTGCTATATCATTACAGGTATCCCTCGATTTACGATGGGGTTACGTTCCTGAAAACCCCAATGCAAATCAAGTTCATTATAACATGGGGTTCAATGGGAAACGTTCTCATCCAGTCTGACACCCTTATGTATCACCGAAAAAAAAATCATACACTAATAAAACAGATCAAAAACTATTAAACAAAACTTGCCACATGTCCCCTTCGAGGCTAAGGAATTCTCTTGTAGGTGGAGTGGAGATGTCACTCTGACTCCTAAGTACTTTACGGTCACAAAAACATAGCAAAAATCACTTCAGTCACCAAAACAGAGTGCAATCTGAACATTAGTGATGTCCTCTCACTGGAAGGAAAAAAAAACACTGATGATAAGTAACAACAATGATACAGTTCTGACGGATAATTATCGAGTTTTGTGATCACAGGCAGATGTGATCACCATGGAACAAAGCGCAGGACTGGAGTGTGGTGGCACTCGGGTAGATGACACTGTGGCTGACAAGTGCAGCGAGAGATGCGTTCCATATTCTAAGCGTTAGCCAGTTTGGTCGGACTATGACCATTGTTAATGTGAATTTTATCATAAACAGGGATGTGGTCTTCAAACATCAACATCATTAAAGCAAAATATTGTATATCGTGGGATACTTGTATTATGTTTCCTTTAAATATTAGAAGGAATTGCTTTATTATGCTCCTCCTTATCACAGGTTCAGTCGTGTAGCCTGTACTGCAAATACTCTGCTCGGCCTCCAAGGATTGATACTATACCCTACCACGTGGCAAAAGCTATGAAGTGTGCAATGTATGGACGACCTGGTGCTTCTTACCTAGACTTACCAGGAAGTACCTTATCTGGCAGAGTTGAGGAGTCCACAGTTGTACAGTTTCCGAGGTAATGTATGAGTATATGCATGGCTCCATTTTTCATAGACGATTTTAGAAAAAAAATTAACCAGAGGCATATTGTGCTTCATCATCATCAACATTTTACAGTCATTTTCCTCACTTGCTTTCTCTGTATTCAGTCAAGCCAGATGGTTTAGAATAGTCACTGCATATTTACAGTCCCTCAAAATAAGAGTTGCCATAAATTATCTTTTCAGTCTTTGGCCATTTATGTTATCTGTAATCTCTTACAGTACTTTATTCAGATACACTTTTTTATATTCTTTCTTAGTTAGTTATTCCTAAGACTTTCCCTTTGGTTTTGATGCAAGATAATCAAGAGAATACACACTGGAACCAAAATGCAAATTCTTTGATATACAGTCAGTCCTCGACTTACGACGGGGTTAGGGACCGACGACTAGGTCGTAAGTCGAATTGGTCGTAGGTCGAAAATGCAAAAATAATACATAGAAAATCTAAAATTGGTGTCTCTTTTTCTTCTCAGCACCACGAGAACTCTCACTTTTACGCTTGCCAGCCATTTTAAAGGGAATTACAAACAAAAATTTTGTCAGTACACAGCGCGATCACTAACGTCGGGACTCCAAAATACGTAATTTGAAAAATATTTTATATGACTGCGGCGGTCGTAAGTCGAGTAGGTCGTAAGTCGAGGAGTACCTGTACGAGTGTGTATGTATGTTTAAAAACCTATAGATCAATAAATGCTAATTGAAGGTACTGTACTGAGAAAAAAAAATAATAACTGCCAATTTTATGATAATATTCTATAATCACTAATTGACTACACCATTAATACATGCAAACCTAAAAGTAAAATTAATTATTAGATACAAACACAGTTTATTAATCTGGTAATTAATTTGTTTCAGCCATCATTTTCTCCCTTGGCATGTACAATCAAAGACAAAAGTTGTGTCGCGGTTTTGTCCGAAGATTAAATATAATTCGTGAAACATTATGAGAGCCACAAGGCAGAGCGCACCAAAAGTTTTAGCCCTTCAGCATATGTTTTCACCAAATTTCACAACACAACTTTTGTCTTTCATTGTACATTAGTGGTCCACAACAATACAAAAACAGTTTTTGGGGAGCTCTGCAAACAGTTCATGTTGCTGACATATATTTAAGAAAAAGTTAACTTCAGGGGATGAAGAGAAGAATGATTAGAATGTGTAGAGAAATATAAAAGGTGGGGAACTGATAAATAATAAAGATGATAAATTGATAGATACGCTTGCTAGGAATCATCTGTTCTAATGCCTGTTAATTTTTATGGGTGTAAGGTGGAAGAATGGTTCAGTACTAGGCTGCCATTCCTGGGTTTGAATCCAAATTGGGGAGGCAGTTTGAGATTGATGTGGATATGAGGTACCTGTATTGTAGTACTAATAGTACAGTTGCGAATATTCAACTGGTTCATGTTTGTGATACGTGACACAAGGCCCATGTGACTGACACTCCAAGTCAAATATCTCAATCTATGTTGATAATAACTACTTCATCCTGTGTGGGCTAATAAGTTATGAAAGTTACTTATGCAAAATAATGGATGATGAATCAGCATACACACAAATCACTCAATTGTATCAATACAGTATATTGATATGCATGACAATGTACCTCTTTAGGTAGTTCAGGAAGGGTGGTCTGAATATAATACAGTGTTACCTGTCTCAGTGAGGATTAGTAACGAAAGATGAAATAATGTTTATGAAATTCAGTTTAATAACAAATGGGCTTGACTGCAGTTATACAACCACTACTGTATATGAAAATATAAATCAATATTTTGTAGTTAAAAAATTTATGGACTTGTAGTACACTGTAATGCAGTTTTTACTTTAGCTCATGTCTAAGGGTTTGCCTTGGGTGCCAATTACCCTTGCACCAACCATGGTTACATCTTGAATTTATTTTTTTTATTTTTCTTAAAGAGTTAACCTGTTTTACATTCTGTGCTTAACCTTCAGGTGTCCTCCACTGCCAGTTTCTCTGGCCTCTCCTGACTTGGTGTCAGAAGCAGCTACACTACTTGCTGGTGCACAGCGTCCCTTGGTGGTGGTAGGGAAGGGAGCTGCCTATGGTCGTGCAGAAGAGGAGGTGTACCGCCTTGTAGAGAAGACTGGCTTACCATTCCTACCCACACCAATGGGTATGAAGCAAAAAATTTATTAAAAAAATTATAGCAAGGTTTTGGTAGAACAGTACAACAGGGTACTGTATTTTTCTTTTCTTAAAAATCATCATTTCCTGAATTAAATATTCTGTGATAGTTAAAGAATTATATTTTGACAGCCAACACTTTCATTATTAATAGGCAAAGGAGTTCTACCAGATGACCACCCTCAATGTATAGCTCCTGCTCGCTCCAGAGCATTGTTAGAGGCTGACGTCATTCTACTTCTTGGAGCAAGATTGAATTGGATGCTTCACTTTGGTCGTCCTCCACGATATGCACCGGACGTCAAGTTCATTCAAGTAAGTACCTGTACAAGCGATATCCCCGTTACCTGGAACAATTGGTGCAGAACTCTTCCGGGGATGAGAGATTTCCGGGTAACAAGACAACGCTCTCAAACCTGGAAAAATTTCACATCCCCGGAACTTTCCCGGGTACTGAGAAAAGTTTCTGAAAATTTTCCGTAAATTGCGCATAATTTCATTCCCAGAATTTACCCCCAGAACTGGAGTAAAAAAATTGAAGACGGTTTCCAAAATTTTCTCTTAATTTTCCAGAATTATGCATTATTTCATCCTTGGAATTTACTCCCAGACCTGGAGAAAAAAAATTGGAGAGAGTTTCTAGAAGTTTTCTTTGAAGTTTCAAGAAAATGCACCTGATTTTCTACCTCAGAAACTCACTCGTACACCCGGAATTGAGAGAATTTTTCCTGAAAAATTTGGAGGCAGTTTCAGTTTTGTGTATTGGAGAGTTCTGGCTAATGGAGATATTACTGTTTACGACGTCAAAATTAGTGTATTGGTAAAGAGATTGACTATATTTAGATAATATAAATTACAGTAATCTCAGTGCATAATTTTTTCACACTTACCCCAGTAAATCTTTTATGTTTGCAGGAAATTAATTACTGTACAACACTTCCTCAAGGTGCAGTAAACACTCATTTTTACACAAGTTTGTATCGCTAAAGTGGTCATGTAATTTTGTAATTGTGAATATTGTACATCATGCAGTGGGAAAATAAGACCATCCATCCTGATGTTACTACCCTCTTTCATATATCATTATACCTCTTACACAATGTCAATTGTGTGCAATAGTGGAAAATTTAGATATAAAAAAAGCTTTACTAGTCCATACCATTGTTTAGGTGGTCCAACAACTCCACCCTCCCTGCTCCTCCCCACACTTTTTCCTGTTTCACTGTCTGTACAGCACAGGTAGTTTATAAATTCCTATGTACCGGTATAAGACCAAGTCAAGTAAATGAATGAAAAAATAGAATTATGCTGTGGTATAATAAAGTTCAGTCTGTTGTGGTGTTAAACAAGAAGCAAAGGACTGGCTAACACAGTTAATGCCACATTAAATGATTATCCAAAATTACTGACCACTCATTCCCATCAAGTAGACCATTAATGTTGAATTTATCATAATACAGTAACAGATGTGTTGTTCTTGGACAAGTAATATAACTAGCTTTATTCTTATTGAATTTGAGTTGCTGATTGCAGGTGGATGCATGTGCTGAAGAGTTTCACAACAGTGTCACTGGGAGTGTTGCTCTGTTGGGAGACTTAAAGATGGTGTGTGGACAACTTGAGAAGGCAGTGCCAGGAAGTCTCTTTCCCTCACACTCACCATGGTGGTCTCGCTTAAAGGAGAAAGCACAAGCCAATATACAAATCAGCACTGTAATTATTCCCATTTTTTCTGTACCTCTTCTGTTTAGCAACAGTGGAAGCTTATATTTTTGGGTTGTTGGCTTCTGATCATTGTCTTCACAACCAGCGGCCCGATTATCATCATGTTGGAAAGTAGTTTTGTCCTGTGATCCTGTAGATTTGATTAACATATGGTCAGGGATTTGTAGTTTTCAAGGCTTAAGCATTTGATTAATTGAGAGGTTTCTGCTCATCATCTTCGCAAAAGTTGGTCCAATTAACATCATATTTGAATTAGACTCATCCCATGGTCTCTTAAATATGATTAGTACTGTAATGTATAGTAATAGTTCCACAGAGTATAATCAGTTGGTGTGTCATCTGCAACTGTATGTTATATGTCGTCATTTTTTACTTAAAGAATCAAACGATAATTCACCTCTCTCTTATTACTAAAGCAAAAATAGGAAAAAAATGTATTGTTTTCTCTCGGTTCCCTTTTAGTTTTGGTTCATCTTGATTTTATTGGCTCTATTTCAGTAATGGTCTGACACTCCCTTACTTGATAAACCATAAATTGATAGTTTTTTAACATATCTACTTAAACTAAAGTAAGAGAAGCAGGATTTATAAAGGACAGTATAGAAGGGTGAAGAAGGATGTGTACAGGAGAGTGGAGTAAATGTGGAAAATGTATATTGTGTTACATTGAAGGTCTTTATAGAAGCTCCTTCATAAAAAAAAATAAACTTAATGATTGTCAGTTTATTGTTGGAGTTTTGGAGCCACAACTTCACTTAATAAAGAACAGGAGATTTTATTTCAAATTTGTATATTCAAAAAGGAAAAGAAAAAAAAATTAATATACCACCAGTGTTATAATACACATAACTACTATATTAATTTCGAATGGATAACTTATGATAATAGCAATAGACCAAAAGGCAGGTGTAGTTTTGTGTTGACACAATTACTGGTCTGTGGTAAGTATTACTGTACTTTGTATCTGACAGTTTTCTTGCTAAGTTTAAGGTTAGCCAAGGCAGAATCTCTTCCCAGCATATAATTACTATGCATCTCTTGTGGATCATTCATTCATAATAGTTAATGAATGATGTCAGACACTGACCTTCCTACTAAATATTTTGCTGAAGTCCGCTTGAAGTAATTCTGTTTCTTAATTTCACAGAAATTGGCCGAGGACACTTCATTGCCTTTGAACTACTATACAGTGTTTCATCACCTACAACAGCTGTTACCTTCTGACTGTATCATTGTTAGTGAAGGAGCTAATACAATGGATATTGGACGTACACTTCTGCTCAACAAGTAAGGTTATTGTTTTGTGATAATTTAGATTCACTTTTGGTTTAAAAATTAAATTGATTCCCAGTAGTTTCTCTAACTTTGCTGCAGTTTAGAACAACTCATGAATCATATATATCAAAGCTTCCAGGGTGCTACCTGATAGTCTGGCAAAGCTCTTCTATAGCTTAAAATCGTGCTTGTGAGCACTTGGAGAGTGACAGTATAAAATATGCCTTGAAAAGTACTAAAAACAGCACAGTTTTGGATGTTTACATTATTATTTTTTCAGATACTCTAGGTCTGTAATATAATGTATAATTTCTGAAGAATTATGAAATCTCAAATGCATGGAATGACATTATGGTGGCCCACATGGCAGTCACACATGTGTAGAGCATGAGGTAAGATTACTGCCTGTGTATAACCTGTACTGTATATACAGTATACACCTACCAAATTCACATAAGTAGCATGTGATGCAGGATCATTGCTAATCTTTACTTGGTGAACTCACACGAGTAGGATGTGGTGCAGTGTTGCTGCTCCTTCATGTGGTAGCCCCATTATGGCTAAGCCATATGTGGTGCAGTGTTACTGCTCCTCCACTTGACAACCCCTTTATAGCTGAGCCAGACAAAGGTAACTTGTGTCCACTGATAAGGCACTCAGGACTTGTAGCTTTTTACTTGAAATGGTGAACTATTGTTTCATGCTTTATTGTGACAGGGAAGCAAATCTAATTCATAAATTAGCCTTAGATTTTGATGTCTAAGGGTTAAGCCTAGATTTACAGCCCAGGACTCATTATGCTAATTCACAAGTACAGTACAGTAATCCCCCAAAATTATAATAGCACAAATTATACATTTTTGGTGTAAAAGTGTGTGATGTGTTTTATAAAAATTACACAAGACAGAACTCACATGAATTAAAAGCTTTACTGTTATTTTAAAAATATAATTACAAGAATTTAATCGGATATATTGCGACTGTATTACATTTTCAGATATCCACGCCATAGATTGGATGCAGGCACGTTTGGTACTATGGGGGTTGGCTTAGGCTATGCCATTGCATCAGCTCTTTGGGCAAGAGACCATGCTCCAGGAAAAAGGATAGTGTGTGTAGAAGGAGATTCTGCATTTGGTTTTAGTGGCATGGAAATGGAGACTATTTATCGTTATAAACTACCCATCATTGTCATCATTGTAAACAATAATGGTAAGATCTTATTTTGTGTATGTACAGTATAGTCATATAAGTGAATAGTATTAGTATGCAGTTTTAGTTTGTAAATGAAAGTACGTCAAGTTCATACTCATCTGTCCTTGGTGAAAAGTTTTCCGATGGTATATTTTGCTTGCATATGTAAATGACGATAATAACATGATTATTTCTTAATTAGGTATCTACGCTGGTTTAGATGAAAGAATGTTTGAGGAGATTCAAGAAGGGATGGATGCCACAATTGCAACACCACCCACATCGCTCCTTCCAAATGTACACTATGAACGCATAACTGCTGTTTTCAATGATACTGGATACTATTGTAAGTCCATCCCTGAGTTGCAAGAGGCAGTGAATCAGGCTCTAAGGGAGAAACATAAACCATCCCTCATCAATGTGATGATCAACCCAATGGCCCAGCGCAAAACTCAAGACTTTGACTGGCTTACACGCTCAAAGCTATAGGATGAGTGTATGGTTCATTTACATTCAGTGGTGTCCATCATAAAGTTATATGCAAAGAACAGTATCTATTTATTGCTTTATAAGGAGGGATTGTATGGGTGTTACATTATATAAATACAGTATATATATATATATGTATTCAGTACAGTATAATTGTACTGCAACAAACTTGTCTAGGGCATTCTGAATTGAAAACTTTCATTTATATCTGTACAGTATCTGGAGTTTTATATGAATAATTCCCAAGTGCCTCAAAATTATTTTTGTTAGGTTTTAGTTTGTTGCAATTATTTCAGTGTCTACAGCAGGAAATACATTCACACCTTGGTTAAATTTTATGTCAAGGTAAATTTGGAGTGGGAAATTTTTATGATTGGTTAGTGTCATTTAAACATGATGTTTTGCCTACTTTAAAAAAAATCTATATACTGTACCCCTTAACTATGCATGTTTTCATTTTTTTAAACAACGTTTTTCATACTGGGTGTAGATCAGTTTTGTACTTTGAAATGTATAGGTTATATTTATATATTTTAAATAATTATGGTGCTTAATTAAGGTTGAAGAGAAGAGTAAAAGGGTTTATTATATAAGTACAAGGATTGATCACATTATGCCAAAGATGTCAGTGTAACATAATTTTACCAGTACTGTATACTTACTATGTAATTTATTAGTATACAAAACTAAGCAAATGGTCCTTGTGTCTATGAACTTAATATTGTGGGTGACCTTTAACCCATTGGTTGCCATAACTGACTTTTTTTGTGGCCATCAAATTTTTTTCCTTTTATCGTAACCAACCATGAATCATGAGTTTGGATTGAGTGCCAGACTACAGGGGATTGACATCTGGGAGAGATTTGTGCAAGCAGTCAAATGCTTCACCTATACCAACCCACACACAGATATCAGCCGATTGTCCCATTTTCGTTGTAGTTTTGATGTTATTGGTGCCAAAATGTCAAGATGTGTTATGTATCATACTTGGTAAAACAATGAAATGTTGCAAGTTATTTATGTTGTTTTGATGAGATAAATGTTGTGGTGCTCTTGCTTACAAACCATCCCTGCATTCCCTTTGATTTCTTGTAACTTCTCCTTCCCCTTTTATGTACTGTATACAGTACATGATATATTTATATGCTTTATATATTGGAATATAAATCTGCATTATAAATGTTTTATTTGTCTTATCTGACATGAAGCCAAATTATGAATACACTACCATATGTTTATTACTACATTTACCCCCCAAAACATGGGTTACATTATATACAGGAAAAATCCCATAATTCAAAATAATAGGGACTCTAGCCCTTATGAATTATGAAATTTTACTGAATATAAGGGACACCTCAGAGAGGGAAAAAAAGCAATGGTACAGTACAATACTTTCCCCATTATCTTCCCAAATCAAAATTTCAATGTTTCCAGGTACTGTACAACAGTACAGTACCTTTTGGGGTGCTTGGTCCAGGGTTATCAGACATAATGGTGCAAATGCTAGGCAATGATGGAAAAACAAGTGGAAAAGCTTGCATGGTAAACTGTAGATGTGTACTCCATGAATGACTAATGTGAAATGACCAACATACATGACGTATAGTGTACAGTACTCGTTTACCCTGAGGCAGCATCATGTGTCATATATTCATAAATGTCTCATTCAGAAATTTTACGAAATATTACAAAAATTTTAAAATATATAGTATACGTATTGTAATATTTCTAAATGTCTCATTTAAAAATCTTACCAAATACAGTATTACTAAATTTGTTATACTGTATATATTTTGTTACAGCAAATAGTGAGTGATTTCGAAATTGAGGGTACGAATTATGGGGTTTTTACTGTACACCATCTGAGAGGTATGCTCCTGAAAAATTCTTGGTCCCATTTGAATTACCTTGGATTTCATACATTTCCCCATTTTTGGATCCAGATTTTTTTCTACAAATTTTAATACCTTCATTGTGCGATATCATTTTAAAATATTTATTTGCCTAACTCCGGACGATTTTATTCAGCTCGGGAATCTCGTACACAAAGGGTTAATGATAGAAGTGGGACCATTTCATTTGGGGAATGATTGCAGCCGCTACATAACCAGTAAAAGAGTTAGGTGGGTAATGTAAGTAAGAGTAACTCCACTCGGGCTTATTTACCTTGCCCTTTTGTGTTATAGAATCACAAACAATTTCAGAGTTTGGAGAAAAATCTTTTTGTTATATATAAGCGATTAAAGTGCCTCTTTTTATTTGTTCATAAATTCACAAAATATAATTATCCTCATTTCTGGAATGCCATATACTGTACACATGTTATAACAAAAAAAAATCTTCAAAAGTCAAAATAATCAACTACTGAACTGATTTGAAGAAGTTTCCTTGATGTGCCAAACAAACACGAAAATACTTGTACAGGCCAATTTAGATATGTCTACTAAAGCTATAAAAAGATCTTGAACTATAAACCTTAACTAACTTGTGATGAAATTTACAGATGTTTAGGCAGCATACTGTTTCACAAGACGGTTAAATTCCTCCTCCTTAGCCACAATATCTTGTACAAACTTATGACATTTGTGTTCATCTCTTAATTGTGCCAAGTATCGGCTGGCAACCTGGAAAAGAAAACAATATACTTTAATACTTTAAAATGAACTGCTGTCTATTACATATCATGATCCACAGAAATATGGTGCTGTATTTGTTAATTATAGATACCTAAAAGAGCAATGTTCATAATTTATTTGTACATGAATCAGTTTTACATCCATCTCACCATTATCATTTCAAATTGATCAAATATACTTGCGTCATCCTTTTTAGCTGACCACATTTCACTACCACACAAAAACACACTTGTTATGCAGGTTTCACACAACTTCCCTTGCGAGTTAAGATGTTTTCTCGACATCAAAATTGTTCAAGCCACTAATCCCTTCCTGTACTGTGTACTGGCTAATAGGAACTCCAACTTTTTAATTTTTTGCTTTTATCTCTCCAAATTATCAAAAATTAAAGAACTTGCAAAAAACTCCAAGTTGAATCAGTCTGCATTCCTTTCACTGGCATACTTGAAGTGTCAATGTTTTTTGTACAAGAAAATTTTTGAAAAATTATAAACCAGTCTAAGAAATTACTGTACGTCTGCATTTCTATTACGTAGTAATACAGGTACTGTACTATTATATTACAGTACAGAGTCTGTCAACCAAAACACTGGGGACCAAGGGGCTTCTGTAAAAAGGATAATTAAGTAAAGTGGATACTATCGTGAACATGTCCAAGAACAGCAGATGACTTACAATCATTTTGATTACACTGTATTGCACAGTATAATTAGTTTCTGCAAATACTGCACATGTAAACTAACTTATTTCATTATTCTCTAACACTTATAGTTACTTATTAAGTCTCCACATAATTATTCAGTGTGTCATCACTCGCTTACAATCACCATATAACTTACTCCTCAAAACTCACGAGAGGACAAATATACTCATCACTCACACCACCATGCATTCAATAACTCTGCCAGTTGCCTGGTTGTCTTCTTTCTCCTCTTTTAATTTCATGTAATATAAGGAAAACTATTCTATATCAGCTTTCTTAAATGTCATGTCAATATATGTACAATAAGGTGTGGAATTTGGAAGCAAAGAAAAGTTTGGAGGTGTGGAGACTGCCAACAATACATGAGAGATAGTGTAATAACTCATCAGGGGCTGAATGGGTCGCAAATACTTTACTGCACCATGAAAAATGATCCATATGAGATTCGACCTCAAATACCGTTAAGTAACAAATGCCATAACTACATTGATTATAAGAATTATTACCTCTTGTGGCTTGCCAGTGTGGTGAGCAAGAACCATCAAATTTATAACGGTATCCGGATTATTAGGATCTTTATCCAAGGCTTCCTGCAGAGCTCCTTCTGCCTCTTCATATTTACCCTGGCCAAGGAAACATACAGCCTGGCCATTAAGGAGGACAGCAGTGCTACTATTCTTGTCCATCATCTCCTGGAAGATATAGTAAGCATCCTGGAGCTTCTCTCCACCCTGAAGTAAAAAAATATACAGTATGTTATTTGTAAGTACGTAACATATCTACTGTACACCCTTATAAATATAAATAACCTTGCTAATCTTTGCCATTTCTTCTGTTATGTTTTCTAGTACTGTACAAGTAGTCTACAATACCTAATAATCAATTTCTTTTGCTTATGAAACACATTGTGCAATTTCTTACATTCCATGAAGAATGAATACATTTCCCAAGGAACAAGGAGTAAGACAAAGATTGTGTTCTTAAAATAATAAAGTTACACTAAAACTGTAGGTTGATGGCTAAATACCTTTACAAGTAACACTGGCTCCTGCCCCCTAAAGTAAAGAAGGTTCTTTTTCAACCCCAGCACAAATGATTTATCAGTTTGGTGTAAGTGTATTTTGATCAAGATTCTTATTCTACCAACAACATGATGTACAGGTTGACAACCCTTTATCCGAAATTCCGAAAACCGAAAGTTTTTTTTTTTACAGGGATTAGCCCATCGGGGCCTAGGGGCAAAAATGTAATAGTAATAATAATTATAATAATAATTATTCATAGTAAATAAAAAATTTAATAAAAAATACACCCAAATAAAATAATAATGATAACAATAATAATAAAATTAATAATAATAACAATAATGCTGTAATAATAATAAAGAAATACAAGAATGAAAAAAAGATAAAAAGTGAGAAACACGACCTAGACCTAAGAATTATTATTATTATTATTATTATTATAGTTATTGTTATTATATTTTCGCTCCCCAGGCCCAAAAGTGGGTCAGTGACTTGTGCCCAGGTGGGCTAATACACACATAAAAAAAACTTATCATTTTGTAAACCGAAAAATTCCGAATTCCGAAATGCCTCTGGCCCCAAGGATTTCGGATAAGGGATTGTCAACCTGTACTACGTCAACAAGTGGCTTTTATTATGCTTACCATAAAACTCATTACATTAAGTCACAACTTATTCTACAGTAACTTGTGATTTCTACTAATAAATAATACTACAAACTAACTGTGGCTATGTGAGTCCAAGCTTGTGCCATCTGAGTTAAGGTGGCATCATCATCTTTCTCCTGCAGTGTCTTCAGTTCCTTACGAGCAGCATCCAAGCGTTCCATTTTCAAGTATGTCTGCACCATGAGGGCACGGCTGATAATATGGAAATTTATGAGAAACTTGAGATAGACTGAAGGACTTCATTAACCAATATGTAATTATGGCACTAAATGCAACATTTTATTTACATCTACGTAGCTCCATATTTCCATCAATATTATTGACTTACAGCAAAACACAAATCAAGTATATTTACCATTCAAGTACATCTGATTGATTAAGAACTCTGAGTGCTGCCTCATAGTTCTCTTCATGACAATAAATAGTTGCTGATACCACCAGTAAGGCTGTGTTGGTCAGGTCAACACTCCCACTCAGCTGTGATTCCAGTTCACTGACTATTGTTGCTCTGTAAAGTACTATGAAGTTAAAGATAGGACCATCATGGTAGATAATGTTGGTATCTAAACTGAGACAAGGAGTTTTCACTAAAAGTTAAACAATTTAGCCTAAGAATACTGTATACCATAATTGTTTTTGTATGTAATGGTATGTCAATATACTGTTCAGTATGGTATTTATTCATGTTTAATGTAACATCAATGCAACAGGATACTGTAAATATTTGTAAAATAACCATTAACTTATAAAGAAACAACCCTACAGTTTTCTTGCCTATTCTTAATTACCTTACATTTGAACACTACTATTCACCAACACAGTCCTTAAAGTATTAGTTTCACTCATCTCATGCATGTAATCAAACACAAAAATCTCCAAGAAAAAATGTAGTCTGACCTGCTTTCTGGGGACTGGAGGTAACGTGCCAGGAGCTTTAGAGCAAGAAGAGGGGCTGGAGCAGATGACTTAATTTCACTTTGGACAACTCCATATTTGCGCTGGCCTATCAGTGCCCGGTACAGAAAAATGTCTCGTTCCTGAAGTAGCTCTGGTGTACTTGGCTGAAATTTAAGAGGCCTACTTACTAAACATCTTTAATTTATTAAAGGGAAGTAGATAATTTGCAGAGGCCTTAACATATCCCCACTTGTATTCAGTTGAAAGAAAAAGGACATAGTACAATAAATACACATAAATCCATTAAGCACACGATCTTGCCTGATCAATAATTGTTACCTCAATGCAGTAAAATATATTAGTGTAGACCTAATTGGAAAACAAAAACCAAACATTAATGTGGGTAAAATTCAAATTTGCTTGCAAACACTTACATCAGTTGCAACATTGAAAAATACTGTACCTTACAGTACAGTATTGCCCTGGGTGGATTCAGCTATACGGTACCCGTTGTATGTTGATTAAGGATACAGCCCTGAACTGTTTTGAGAAAATCCTCAGATTTGGGGTTGTCAGCAAAGTCAGTCTAATATATTTGGCTAAGTTAAAGTCTCCTATTATACAGACTTTACACCTGTTTGCATGACCTTCGTATTTCATCGCAAATAAGTTGCCCTTCAAGCCTATACAGTCTAAAAGGTCTATATATCACTCCTATTATTAATTTTTCACCAACCATCAGTTAATTCCATCCACACCGTTTCTGTGTCCAGGTCAGTTTTAATTTCGTTTTTGATGCTACACTTTAAAGTATCCCTGACATAGATTGCATCCTTTCCAGATCTTCCTATCAGTATGAAATAATTAATAACTTTTAATTTGATATTCGACAGGTATATAACTCATGCGTGTCTCATCAACAGAAGAATCGCAAACATGGAGTCATCACGTGCATGGGCTGTACTCACTCTTAAAAAAATGAGGAAAAATTAAATTAAGAAAGCTTAAATTCTTTTTCTGGATATCCCAAAAGTATTAAATGAGTTGATTTTTTTATAATAGTGGAGCAGACAGCTAACAGAAGAAGTTGTTCAATTATGTTCACTTTTTTCACTTATTTTTATTTTAAGTATTTTATATATATTTTTCTCTGATAATAAATCACCTGTAGTGGGCAGGGTATGAAGGATGAGAGAAATTTCAGGGTAAAACATGGCATAAAACTGATCTTATGACACTAAAATTATGTAAATATACTGTAAATATTCAGCTGAAAATCTGCTGTGTCAGTGCACGTTGTCATCCACTCTTTGTTTGTTTCAGTGCAACAACAGAGCCGCTCAGTTTGAGCATAATCTCACATCCACAAAAAACATAAAGTTACACCATACCACTTCAACAAAGTTGCTTTCATTGGTCCCAGATCAAAGTAAGTGCTTTCTGTTTAATATGCCAGGGGGTCCCGGTGGCAGAGCCTCCTTGCTGGAATGTTAGGCAATGTGAGGTAGGTTTCTTTGGTTAGGTCAGGTTCTACTACCTTAGGTTCTGTGTATTGTTAAATCATTTTTATTCCTTACTATCATCCAAAGAACACCTGTGGAAATATGAGTGAAATCGAACAACTCTTTCTGGTATTAGCCATCTGCTCCACCTTTACCATTTTTTCTATAGAAAATTGGTAAATATTCGTGACTAACCCGTGGCCGAAACTGATAGAAAACGATTTTAAAAACTCTGTATTTTCACTGTTTTTTTATAGTGGACACTGTTGTAGTTTGTGCAAATGTGCTTAAAAATGGTTATTTCTAAAATAAACGTAGCTTAACCTTTGTGGGTATGAAAAACAGACCTCACCAACCTAGCCAAACAAACCTACCTAACCTTCTTACTGGGGTGCAGACCCCCCGGGATATTTAACAGAAAGAACTTACTATGATGTGGTGTAATTTGAGGCTTTTTTTGGACGTGAGATCATGTGAGTGCATCGGCTCTTTATGCTGCCCGAGTGGCGGAGTGATTTATTGTGATGGCAGGAAACGTCGAGCCATGGCGTTGAGGAAGTGATGAACAAATTTCTTTCCGGTCTGAAAGCACAGGGATTCCCGCTGTGTGGACAGTGTCTATTTAAAGGACCAATGCCGTGGTCTTTGATCAATTGAAGGGTATTGTCTTTATCCCTAAATTCGCAAATTACGCCAACAACCTTCACATGTCATGCTGAAAACGAAACTGCCGTGAGCCCGGGGAAAAGTGCCACAGCAGAGCGCAGCCTCATTACCGCCGGGAGGACAAATTAGTGCGCGCCTAGGCACTTAAGGGATCTGCTCATATCGTCACTAACCCACTTCGTCACCACTATTTTTAAACCGTTTCGTAACCACTGCTTTACCCCTTTCGTCACCCTGTTCATTTGCATCATTATATACACGAAAATAACTGTTGCTTGGGATAGAAAATAATAAAAAAACACGAAGACAATTTATTTAAGACAAAAATAAAAAATACAAACATTGTTAATATGCCTGCAATCATCTAACTGCTCAGTGGTTTATGCGCTGGTGCCAAATCACCTTCATTTGCTCTGTATGTATTTTGTTTATTTACCAATGTTTTAATCATTTTATTTATGAAATAATTAATATTCATGTAAAATAATAACAGCACAATACTTTTCGAGTCATCTGTATACATGTGTAATTTCTATTCTTGAACAAAAATAACTTACAATTTGTCACTAATACCAGCAACTGTTAGTGATGACGAAATGGATTTGATAATAGTAATGAATTGAGGTTATGGTGACGACGTGGATTGGTTACGAAATGGGGTGTTATCCGCACCTAATTATCTAAAAAAAAAAATTTCCACAAAAAATGATTACCATATCAGAACTCACTAATGAAAATAAAGTAAGAAAATAAACAATAATACAAATAACTCGTCTGAGGATTAGTCCTACATATTAACTAGAAAATTTCCTAACCTAAATATACCGAGTTAACACAGAGCATTCGGCATGACCTAATACTGGCACACCTGTGAGTTATTTGATAAGATGGACACAAAATAAATTACCTGCAATTTCTGTGCCTCATTAATACAGTGCTGATAATTGCCAATGTAAAAAGAATTCTTCACTTCAAACAGTTCGTCTACTTCTTGGTTGGCCATGTTGACAGTAGTGAGGCTGTCAGGGCGGCAAACTGATGACACCAACTACTCATTAGTATGACTAAAGTATTTGGCATTATATTCATACATATATATGAATTTATATACTTATTTTAATATTTATAACAGTCAATGTGGAAAATTATGTATAAAATAAATGTAAATGTTTGAAATATTAATAATCGAACGTCTACGGTTGGTACCTCTGTTAGTATACGTGTATAACGATTCTCATATGATGTTAAAAAAAGTCTTATCGTATGTATATATTATAGATAAGATTAAATGCGTATAATATAAAGTAAAATGTAAAAAAAATACACTATAAAGGTATTTAACTTTTAGAAAATAACAAAATTGTCAATTAACAATCGCAATCAGCTGGCCCCTGATGACAACACAGTGTTGTGCCCTCAGTTAACACAAGGCGAGGTGTTGTATTACCTCCAAGGAGTAGTGTATATTGATGAATGTGCCTGAATAAGTGTTGAGTGTTTGATAATATTGTATTTGTAGTTTGTTCTTAGCTGTTTATAGAGGAAAGCTTAATACCGACATAACAGTGAATTGCTTTTAAATAGTTTCCATGTGGGTTTATGAATAATTGAAGTACTGTATAGTACACAGAGTGCTTATTGTCATCTCTTGAGGAGACATAAAGTTAAAGGGCAATACAGTACTTCACTTGATGGCCATAGGCTGCAAGTCAGTGTGTAATAGGGCTTTGAGGTAAGTGCGGTAAATTTGCATTGTCAATCAATATGGCTCTCGAGTTGAGAAATATTTTTATCCGATGGTTCAGACAATTTTAAGACACTTTTCTCCTATGACGTTTCTCTCGCAAATGACTTAAATATACCGGGAAATCCAGGGGTGGGCGGAGCCCCAAATTAGGAGGTTAGGTTAGTTTAGGTCATTTGCGAGGGAAATGTCATTGAAGGAAAGTGTCTTAAAATTGTCTAAACCATCGGAAAAACCCATTACTCAACTCGAGAGCCATGTTGGTTGAAAATGTAAATTTAGCCATAAAATGAAGTATTCCCAGGTAAAGATTCGGTAGAGTACATGTCATAGACCGCCGACGTGCGTTAATGCTTATAAATCTCACCAATATGTCAAATTGTCAAGGGTTCGAGCCTTGGCCTGGACACACGTGAGAAGGGTGTTCTCCAAGAAAACCCTACCAAACATCAACGGATTTCCTGGTCCCCGGCTTCCCCCTGTATTAACACTGTATAGACCATACAGCGGTATGAGAGCATTTATCTTGTATGGAGAAATGTTAAGTTGCTGGGTCCAATGTGCTTAGGTGAAAACAAACACCTAAGCAACTATGGTTTGAATACTTAATTTTGTCTTATAAATGTGGACAAGTTTCACCAATAATTAAATTTGGAAAAGACAGTGTTTAAGAGTATTGTATTATATAATGCCAAGTAATGGATTAAATTTGACCAGAAAGATGATCATCATAGTGGTATGCCTTTGAAGTTTAAGGTCAGGGCCTTAGTTATGGTTTGTTTTCTTCAGGATTTTCCATATAATGTTTTAGTGGTTCAAACTTGCTTAAATCCCTTTTTTTTTTAATGGTTTCACTTTTAATCACTGCATTGTGTACAGTACAGCATAAGCATATGAGGCCACTGCTTGCTTACCACATCTTCATTAAATCAGGGTAAATTGTATTAATGTGCCACAAAATATGTTTTTTTCTGCATTAAAACACATTTTAATGGAAATTCCAAAGAAAATAAATCTTTATTAAGCGTGCAAAACCAAATTAAAAAATTACTGACAAAATACAATCTGCTGACGAACAGAAAAAAATAAGGCTGAACTATTTAAGATATTATTTTAAATGCCCTTTTTTATGGTTGTGTCAAAGGTTATGAGGCTAAAACATTCATGAAATCAAATGACACAAACCACTCAACCCTAACCTATCTAGTAATTTTAGTGTACAGTACGTGTAATTTGATATTGTTTTAATTACAGTACTGTATTGCATTATTTTATGAGATGTAGTTTCTTCTACATATTTTTAAGCTATTTTTTTTATTCTTGTACAGTAGCTCATGGTTGTTAAAGTTTGGTATTACTGTACTGTACTGTACTGTACTGCACTGCACTGTACTGTACTGTACTGTACTGATACTTAATTTTCCTGTCTCATCTTGGTACAGTACTGTTTCACAATTAATTATCCTCTATTTATATATGGCATTGCTAGTAATTTATTTTTTGTCATTGTTGATAAAATCACTTACTTATCTGATTTTCTTAATATTTCTGAAATTTTATTGAGAACTTATAAAATTCTTTCTTCAACATTTTTCATGAAATTTTAGATGACGGTGGAGAATGCAGCCAGTGTGGATCTCACTATACTCTTCAAGTCATGTGTGAAAACTATCAGGACTCGCAACAAGGCAATGGGAGTGACGTTGCCCCAGACAAAAATATTTCCAAGTGCCCCAACTCCTTCCTCTCAGTTTTACTCCAGAGTGAAGGATGTGATGAGCAACATAGCCAGTCATCGTAACTTACTCAAAGACCACAGGAAAAAGTACCTTCAAGAACAAGATCAGTCCATGTCTGATTATGAACGTAGTTATATGGAAAAGGCAAGTAACGTACAGAGTCTTATTATACTGAAACAGAGGCTTTGTTCCAGTAGAGATGATATGCTGGTTTTAGATTTTGTGATGATAATTACTATTGTATTACTCTATTAGAAAAAAATATATACAGTACTCGGTAATATTAAAAGAGGTTCATACACTACAGTATACATATTTAGTATCTGTATAGTGTACAATACAGTACTGTACTTGATATATATACAGTATACGCAGTACTGTATTTCACAGCAATACTATCAGTGCATTAGGTCAGTCAGTGGTATATTTTGGGGCTGTAGAGTTTAATATTAATAAGCACTCATTATTTTTTATATTCATGAAAAATACTAATAGTCTCTCCTCGACTTACGACGGGTTTCCGTCCCGATGACCAGGTCGTAAGTCGAAAAGGCGAAAATAATAAATAAAAATTCTAAAATGGGTGTCTTTTTTTCTTCTCAGCACCCCGAGAACTCTCACTTTTACGCTTGCCAGCCATTTTAAAGGGAATTACAAACGAAAATTTTGTCAGTACACAGCGCGATCACTAATGCCATGACTCGAAAATACGTAATTTGAAAAATATTTTATACGACCACGGCGGTAGTATGTCTGGGTTGTAGTAAGTCGAGTATGTCGTAAGTCGAGGAGTACCTGTACTGTACAGTACATTGTAACTATTGTAGTAGTACAAAATGATTACATTTTTGAACTTAAGATACGGATATTGATAGACAAATGAATAGATACCTAAAGATAAAATTAGGCCCAATATTCATGAGTTATTCTTTTCAGGTGGTGAACACAAACTTACGCATCATTGATGACAATATCCGTACACTGAGTATCGAGCTCCAGGGTGACAAGCAAGGGTCTAAAGATGCCTGTGAATGTCAGGAAAATATGGTAGCTGTTTTGAGGATGAAATTCCAGGAGATTAATTCCAGCTTTAAGCATATGAAAGAGTTAAGAAGAACAAAGCAAAAGGAAAAGGTATGTATCTTAAGAGTGATAAATTAGGTTACCTGGGGAACATGTCTTCAGGAAAATGCTTCCCTGCACAGTCATATATACATTTATTAACAGCCTTGCCTGTTATCAAAGCTCGGTGAAAGTGCAGTACAGTATACAGTAGTCTGCATTTATGCGGTCAATTGAACAAGTGGAGGCCCGCGTAAAACGAGAAACACGTAAATGAAATAACAGAACATATGGAATTAATTGAAATAGAGACTGGGCCGACCCCCAAACTCCACTTTTTCCGACACAATACGTACCTTGTAGTCAAAATAACATCTTAATTTTATGATGGTATGCACATACAATTAATAATTAAGAGAAATATCAATAATATTAGGTTTTTTAACACTTACGTTAGTAGAAAAGATGGCTGGGCACACGGGGATGGGAGGTTGGTTCCTAGGCAGAGGGCAGATTATTGGCCCTCACCTGTGTCACTTGTATCAATTGTATCACTATCCACCACAGAGGCTTGCAGGGCCTCTTTGTCAAACCCCTCAAAGTCCATATCCTCACTATCACTGACTTCGGCCGTCTGTGGCGGGCGAAGAACTCGGTAATGTTTTGATGACTGGGCGACCTTGTGCGCACCCTGCCCGCGCCACTTCCCGCGTAAATGACCAAATTTACCGCATAATTAAAGCATTTCATTCTGGCAAGGCACCTCGTAAATGACCAAACGCGTAAACAAAAGCCGAGTAAATGCAGACTATACTGTACAGTATAAAAACCTGGATATTTTTTAGTATATCTTCTTGGGGAATTTTGAGAAAAAGTTTGTTTTATGCCCTTTTAATTTTGGGCTCTGGTGATACGGAAGCATTTTTATCTTATAAAATTTTGAAGCGGGTGAGAGGAAGATTGTATCAGAATGAGATAAACAGGAATAGATTAGAGGAATACTGAAGGCAGGATAGACATTTCATATTGGTAAAATTAGTGGGAAACAACATTTAACAATGTATCTTAAGTAATCAGATTTTTTTTTAATGTGGGACTATAGGTTAGAATATATGCTGACTTATAATTAAAGGACAACTTCAAAGAAAATTGACTTCTCTAAGTGACACTCACAAATTTCAATTCTGAGGGTCATGGCCAACATACAAGAGATTTACCTATGATGTATTCCTCCTCAGGATAGGTTGTACCGTGTGCAACGTCCTGCTGGGTCTAAGAAGCGAACTAGCAGTAGTTCAGAAGACCCTCGCAGAGCCCCACAACTTTCCCAGCTTGGAAAGAAAGAATCTAGTCCTGATACATGCAGTAGTTCACATCCAGGTAATGCTACTACTGTCCACTGTGTATCATAAATCATATACAGAATACTGTACTGAAGGTTTACTGGTGAGTTAAATTTCTCTTGTTGTACAGATAATGATATGATTTGTGGGAAGTGATGTGGTACATAAATTTTCTAATGGATTATATATTACAGTATTGTACTTGGGGAGATACAGTGAGTGTAAGAATTAATATATAGACACTATTTTGAGTGTTAGAGGTATGTAGGTTAGTGTGGTGATCTTAACATCCTCTTTTTTTAATCCAGTATTTGAATTGCCGGAAAGAAGAATGTACTTGTTGTATTAGGATGTAGTTTAATTAATTGTTTGCACATTACATGAAAGGTGATGGAGTACATTAATTTTCTTCTAAATTATTAATTGAAATGTTTTCATCTTTACAAGTTTTTCACAAATGATGAGCTCTTGTGATCCCAAGTGTTGGACTAGACCAGTGATTCTTAATGGAGCTGCACCCCCAATAATTAAACCTTGAATCCACGATCCCCACAATCCCAAAAGGGCATAAGAACACATTTTTCAAGTTCTATTTTCAGTGCCTTTACATATTGCATTTTTAGATCCAATTAAACAAACGGGTTGAGTAGACAAGGGGATGAGTTGACGAGGGTTTGAGTTTGGATTGACCAGAGGTTGAAATTGACCAACTGCCATATATATCTGTAGCCATTCCAGAAGTGCTTAAGATAAATTGGAAGCCCCCACGTTATGGTAACACTGTCCTAGCTCAGTCACATCACAACTACAACTCTGATAATATGCATTCAAACACTGGCATTTTCATTTTTATATTCCTTTACTTCTTCATTATCTTAGAAAAATCTCATATTATCCTTGTATGGGACATCTAGCAATACCATGTGAAGTTAGGATTGAGATTAATGAATGGCAAATTATCCCTGTCCTACACTGCTGTACCAATTTTTGAATTGCTAATTTAATTCAGTGGGAATACAGTACAGTATTATGTAGTGTATTTTGACAAATATAAGCCGCAGGGTGAGTTTTGGACAAAATTCATGTCAAAAAGCTTGGCATTCGAATCAAAGCCTCACCCTGTAGCTGGAGGAGATCAAAATCATATTCACATTCAAAACTGTTCACAACACAAGCGATACTTACTTATATGATATGAGTACAAATGTTAGAATAGTAATTGATTTGGGGTAAAAAAGGTGCGGTGGAAAGTACGCACCTACATAACAAAAGGAGTAGATTTACAGTCCCTAACGATGATGTAACAAAAAGAAATTTGTTGTCACAAATGTTGGTGAATGCATCAATCTGCCTTAGAGTATGCTGTGAATATTTTGGGAAAGTTGTGAAGTGCTGAGAGTAATGCGCATCCTGTCTCCTCCAAGTATTGACTGGCATGAGCAGTGATGAAACCACCGGCATCTGTATGTTTTGTGTGATCAACTCATGGTCTTCCTTTCGTGTGCCTTATTCGAGTTGCCATTTGCGATACAGTATATTGTTAGACAAAAAAAGCTGATACCTTATTATAATTTACTATGTATACATTGACTTGAGTGTGATTCATAGACTTGCTATGATATCCGAATGTCATTAAGTTACCATAGAGCAACAGTATATATTACTGTTAACAGAATGCATACTATTAAGTTGTTGCTACACACACTTTCAAGATTTTTTATATACATACACTGTATACTGTACATGTATATCTGAATTTGAAAAGCTTTCATAGTGGCTTGATAATACAGTATATTATTTAATGTATGTGGAAAGTCAACAACCCTTTCTCATGCCTCCATTTTCCAACTGCATTGTGATGGCACTAAGTGAACTCATTCAGGGTCAGACTTCACCAACACTGGCACAATTACAGACACTCTAGAACCAGTACATTTCCAGTACTTAACAATAGTGTGTAACAGAGACATGACTGGCTGCCCAAGAGGCTAACGAGCCAATCACTGGCGAAGAGGATAAAATATAGTAAAATATGACTGTTCACTTCCTATACCTCAATACTGTACTGTACTGTACTGTACTGTAACAGGAACTTATATTCATCTTTTAATGTACAATAATGTAGAATAAACAATGATGGTCAAGTTAATATCAGTAAATGATTTAATGTTTTACAGTATTATGCTTTGAGAGCTTTGAACACAGTAGTTACAGCTAACTGAACTTCATTGTTTTAAACAAACTCATGGGTAGATGACATGCAGTGATAATAGTAATGGTGGTAATGATGGTAATTTTGATTTAGGGCAAGGTAGTTATGGTGGTGGGGATTGTTTAGAGGTAGTGCTAAGGAACACAAGGAATTACAGGAATATTGTACAGTACTTAAAACTATTTTTGAGGCTTTACTAAAATTTATATCTGATAGCAAGCCACACCCCCCACATTTGCCTTCTTTTTTTTTCTTAGGAAGGAAGTGTGGCTTATACAGTAATACCCCACTTTACGCGGTTTCACTTTCCGCGATTTTGCATTTACGCGGTACCTCGTCAGAACCGGACTTTCACTTTACGCGGTGCATCTACTCATATACGCGGGAAGTGGCGCGGGCAGGATGCGCACAAGGTCGCCCAGTCATCAAAACATTACTGAATTCTTCACCCGCCACCCACCACAGCCGGCCCAAGTCAGTGATAGTGATAGTGAGGATATGGACTTATATGGACTTTGAGGGGTTTGACAAAGAGTCCCTGCAAGCCTATGTGGTGGATAGTGATACAATTGATACAAGTGATACAGGTGAGGGCCAATAATCTACCCTCTGCCTCGGAACCAACCCCCCATCCCTGTGTGCCCAGCCATCTTTTCTACTAATGTAAGTGTTAAAAAACCTATTATTATTGATATTTCTCTTAATTATTAATTGTGTGTGCATACCATCATAAAATTAAGATGTTATTTTTACTACAACGTAGGTATTGTGTCTGAAAAAGTGGAGTTTGGGGGTCGGGCCAGTCTCTATTGGAATTAATCCCATATGTTCTGTTGTTCACTTTACGTGGTTTTCACTTTCCGCGGTACCCCATGGGTTCAATTGATCGCATAAATCGGGGTACTACTGTATACATTAAAATACAGTATTTTCTGAGTCAAATATATATTCAATCCCTTGAAATGTGCCCCCAAGGTTAAGAACCACTGGACTAGACTAATTCTCTTTTAAGCCATATATATTACACTTATTGTGTGTACAGTACAGTGACAGGTATAAGTGAACTTTTATGAAGACTTAAATTTGGTTATTGATTTCCCCATTAATGGCCCTCACACAACTAAACTGATTGTTCTGGTAGCCATAGAAAAAAAATATTGGTTGTTTAAGGTGATATCCAGTACTGTTAACATCTGAAGGAGAGTACAAGATTTTTTTCCTGCAGAGTCTTGGGGTCAGTCAACTGATAGCCAAAGTACTGATAAAATTAGTCCTGAAAGCTCTCAACACACTGAGAGAAAAGAGGGACAAACACCAGAGAACAAAGCAGAGGTTAGTGGAACAACTGATGCTGAGAAAAGTCGAGTTTCATCTTCCCTTTTAGAAGAAGAAATGGAGAAAATGCATGGAGAACTAAGTGCTGAAGAACGTCAGATGCTGGAGAAAGAAAATGCTCACCTTTACAAAGAACTAATGTCGAATCAAGAAGAAGTGCGTCAAATCACCAGACAGGTGAGTGAGTGTTCTTACTTGTAATGGAAGGGCCATGTTATGTGTTCTTATACGAGTTATTTTGTATATTTTAGATAATTACTGGTCCATCATGGGAAGGTACAGGAGGTAACCAGAAAAAGAGAAAAGGATCTCACGAGGATTAGGAACCCGTTTATTTCACCTGATGATTAAACACACTGGTGCTAACCTAACCTGAACTAAACAAACCTTACCCCCTACATTGTTGGTCAGGGTATTTAATCATCAGGTGAAGTAAGCAAGGGTACATAATCTTCATGAGATCCAGAGAAAGGTTTGTTTTATGAAGGAAATGAAAGAGGGAATGGATAATAGGAAGGTAAGGAATGAAAGAGAGCATTACGAAGAAAGGGAAAGAATAAGATAAATTTTTAGAGATAGGAAGGGGTGACATTAGGATTGATATTCATCATCTCAAAGTAAAAAAATAATGTAAAGAAAAAGTAATTACAGATATGGTAATGCAGTATTGTACTGTACATTTAGTGTTTTATCTGGAAAGTAGTTCAAGAAATGATACATCTCCTGTTTTTTATATGCACAGAGACTTAACGAGCAGATTTAGAGGGGCAAGGTCAGCGATGTCTGGAACCTCCTCAATTTCTTGCAAATGAATTTTTTTTCAAGTACTGTATAAAAAAATCACAATATTGGCTTTGATGATAGCCACAAAATATTTTTAACCTTTTTGATGTGTTCTCTGGAAGGGATGAAAATTTGGTAGCAATTCTCCATCATCGGAATTAACATTCTGCCGTTATTGTATTTCAACAGGTTGTTGAGTTGGGCCAGATGCAAGATCTCTTATCAGAGAATGTGGACCTCCAGGCTCATCAAATTGAGGAAATCCAGGAAACTATAATGGCAGCCACAGAAAATGTTCGGGAAGGCAATGAGCAGGTCAGTGAAGAAGTTCAGGTGTCAAGTCTGATACAGTACTATGTATTCAAAATGTATTTAATTTAGTGTTTGAGAGCCATTTACATAATTGCTTGCCATATACATATATATATATATATATATATATATATATATATATATATATATATATATATATATATATATATATATATATATATATATATATATATATATATATATATATATATATATATATATATACACACACACACACACACATATGGAAAGGTAATACCTGTACAGATAGACCCCGACTTACGACGGGGTTAGGGACCCAAATCCAGGTCGTAAGTCCGACAGAGATATAAAATAAATAAATAAATAAATAAATAAATAATCTACAATGAAATACAGTACAGTAAAAGTAATGAATAATGAGGAATAGATACAGTACAGTGAAAGTAATAAATAATAAGGAATGGTTACAGTGTGACTGAGCACTTACCTTTAATGTAGTCAGCTGAATGCACATGGGGCCCCCATAATTTTCTAATTATACATGGAGACTACATTAACTGGAATCGTTTCGGTATATAAAATGTGTGTCATTTGGAAAAAAAAAATTATAAAAAATCTGAGGCGGTCGTAAGTCCCGACGGTCGTAAGTCGAAGCAGTCGTAAGTCGGGGTCTGTCTGTATTGTACATTTTATATGGTAGACTGTAGATCAGGCTTGACTAGATAGCATGACATGATTTACTCTTTTATTCATATATATTTTGAGTTAATGTTCATATTTAATATCAGTGCTGGGCAGATAAGTTTAATAACTAGAAACCTTTCATAAAGATATAAAAAACTCACATGTCTCAAATACCAAAATTACTTGTGTTAAAACAAATAACTTAATGGTATAAATATATAAGGTTAGTACAGTATATTTGGGTGATGGTTTACTGTTACTTTTTTTTTTACTTTAAAGGTTCGAGAAGCTATGAGAAAAGATGCTGGCTTTCGAGTATGGATAATGTTCTTCCTGATTGTGATGTCTTGTTCGATACTTTTCCTGGACTGGTATAATGGTTGAAGACAAGGAGTGTTGTATACCAAATGAGAACAATTATGTGAGACATTAATACCTCATTCTGTGAATGAATTATTTTGTGAAGCTTTATTTGATTAATAAAAAGTTCCATACAGGTTTAAAAATGTTACGGACTTGGAAATATACCCGTACTGTATATCTTTTTTTTTTTAAACATTAGTACAGTAGCTGAGAATTTATGTAATTTTACAGTTCCAAGTTCATCAAGTAAACATACACTGTATGTTGCTTTGTGCATTTTTTAGTTCTGCAAGCTCAAATTTCAGTAAAATATTTATTATATAATTTTCTTGCATTTGGTTAATTTTTCATTCTTCAACCCAAATTTTCCACAAATGTGACTGTTAGCCCATTTCTCTACAGACACCTTATTGTCCACCACCATCTCTCACCCACATGGTCCTTCACTCCCACTATCTTATATACTGTTCATTATTAAAATACTATATGTACCATCTAGAGATCATTGTTATTTCACACATACAGTATTTCCTTTTATATACCTGCAGTTGTTGGGCATTCAGGCATCTTTAACATTTATCAATGAATATTCTTTTGTCTGGTTTATAAAATTCTGCATAAGTGTAAGTGTTGGTGCTCATACGTATGGTGATCTCCCTTTGTTATTATTTGGGCAAAAAGTTGGGGATCACGGGTACTGCATATTTGCTTAAAAAGTTGTGTCTAATATCAACCTGTGCCTCTCAAATATTTCTGATGATGTTATTTATCTTCACAAATATTACAGCCTGATTATGGCACATGCTAATGTGGTAGTAATGTATTTAAGTATATCCGATGGAGAAATTATATTCACAGACATAACAGCCTGATAAGAATCATATAATAATTTGGTAGGTATGTTTTATCTGAAAATTACTGTTGTACGTTGCAGCAAGTATGTAATCATACACATTTTTTGTGGAATTTTTGATAGGAAATTGTTTACAAGAGTTGCAGGCATATAACAGAATTAATACTTATAAAGAAGTTCTGGCAGAGAGAATGATAAAGTAGTTTAATAAAAAATTTATTAAATGGTGATTCTATATGTTTTTGAGTTGTTAATCATGAGGTTTATATGGTAAGAAATTTATTACAAAGAGATTAGTTAAAAGATAATGTGATATTTGAGAAATTAAAGTGAAGCTTAGTTGTGTAGTGGCATCCATGGGAAAGACATATGTTACACAATTACAGGATTTGGGAGCACATTGAACGGTGCTGTGCTTAATGTCAGTTGTGTTTAGTGCATCCTGTTTATTATTTTCTTTTGAAATTCTTATGAGTGAATGGGCTAATTTTTATGAAGTAAGATACGGATGTCACATGACTTGTGTATTTTCCTTGGTAAAATGACTGTCACACCTTTTTGTGGGGAATCATTAGTGTCAAGGTGTTCATGAACCAGAAAACTATATCTGATGGTCATGGGGTGCTGCACTGTACTGTAGTAGTTATGGTATCTTTTAACCCTTAAAGCTCGGACGACCTAAGACCCGCCGGACCCTTCACGCAGGTATATTTCGTCAAAAAGAAAACTTTATTTTTTTTAATCCATTGTCTGCTTATAAATGGGTTAGTTAATATGAGAAAAAGGCCATACGAATGGTTGGAGAGTTGTCTGGAGCAATGAAAGAGGTCTTGTTTGGAGCTGCTGCGCTCAGCTCACATCAAGCGGAAAGTGATGTTGACACACTTGCAGCACACAATTGTTACTTGAAGGCACTTTTGTTTCATGTTTCTATCTTATAGCTACCATAAAACACAAAATATTAACATTTTCCTCAAAAGAAGTATAAAATACTGAACAGTAGGAAAATTCAGGCAGCAATATTTTAAAATTTATACACTATTTACATGTACTGTATACTGTACTACTACTGAATTTAGAACTACTTCATCGTGTATATAAGTCATTGTAACACTGAATGCACAAGGCAACACCACACTCGTTGCACCAAGTTGCCACATCTTTGCTCTGTGGTTGGCATGATAGGGAGAGTGAGGAACCCCATTGTCTGTATCACTGTTCTCACCACTGGCCGCCTTAACAAACTCGACATCATCTGGGTCTGTTTCTTCCCCATCATTGTCTTCGTCACTCGACACTGTACCAATGCCAATCAAATCAAGTAACTCATGACGAACAGCACTGCTGTCAAGCAAACGCTTGTGCTTGCGTGTGATGGATTGAGGTGGGCCATAAGGGGTTTAAGAACGTGCATCCCTCACAATAGCTGGTGGGCAACTGACCACGAGGCACAAGTCTTGAGACTAATATTGCACGTGATTTGAGTTGACAATTAAAAACAAATAATCCATACAAAACATTTTGTCCTGCCTGGACATTCAAAATGTGCCCACAAAAATTAAGAATGTTGTGGAACGTCACCTGAGCTTTAAGGGTTAAAGGTATTTAATGACTGAACTACTGTACATACCATTCAGTAGGTCACATCTTTTAAACAGACTGGTGTGAACACACCAGGTTACTAGATTCACTGAAGGCGTTTTCTGTGTACTGTATCATACCGAGAGTGAAAGTACAGATTCAGAAATTTAACATGCTGTATGTGCCAAGAATTGCTAATTTGATTGATCCAGCTGTGTTTACATATGGAAGTGGGGCTTGAGAAGTAGCATGAATGCTATGTTGTTTGAATTATTAAAAAAAAAAAATATTGGACTAAGGTTGTGTAAGTTGAGGGATCCTTAAGGAAAAATACTTATCTATTCCTTTGCAAATTACTGTAATATTTTTATTTGATTTTATGTTCTGCACTTTTAAATTGCTACAGAAATATCCATCAGTGCTTTCTGTACTGTTGTGATGCAAAACTTTATTAAATAAAGTATATACTACAAAAAATAAAATGCAAACAAATTGTTTTGTTTATTTGTTTCATTTTTTATATATCAGATACATATACAGTACAGGCAGTGTAGTGGTATCTTTATTTCCAGCATCTAACCACATAGTACGTATAAACAAGTGAATCTTATGTACACTGCTGCAAAATTTGTATAGTACACTATTTCCTGGTGTTAGAGGTAGTAAAAGTTGTGTCTTTTCATATGGACAATTTCCACCAGGACGATTGTCTGTTTTATGCGATATTTGCCATCATCAACACCTTACGGCCAATTTTTACAATTGCATGGGTTAGTCATGATTCCATGATGGCAGCTAATGGGTGAAACCAGCACTGAATGTCCCACCCTGCTCACCACTGCAAACCCAGAAAATGCAGCAGAGACCAGGGAATGTTCACAACACTCATGACTCAGTTGCCATCAGACATGTCGAAGAAAAGTTTTATAGCTGGGTGCCCTTCCTAACTCCAACCTACAGGGTGGAAACTTGCTGGTAAGGTAAGGTAAGGTCACACTTCCCTTAAATAATTAAAGACTACCCATCTACCCACGTTACATTTGGATAAGTTAAATGCTCAATCATTTATTTGGAGATTTCCCCGAGTAGCATGTACGTAATTGTAAAAGTGAACACGGTGACATCATTTATCATTGTGTACTGTATATACGGTATATTATATTTGAATCGGGTCAAAAACAATATTTGTAATGGTTCACCAATGTTTTACTGTTATTCTGATGATATTACCAAGTTTAATGATATCACTGTTGGTGTAGAGGGTTGTATAACAAAATAAAATTATCGCATGAATGTTAGGCACCCCAGCTTATTTCACCTGATGATTCAACACCTTTATGCTACCTGGGGAGGGGTTAGGTTAGGTTAGCCTTAGGGTGGTTCATCTCAAGGTGACTGTCGTGTCAAATGATTTTTGAGAGCAGTAGATTTAGCATGAATATAAGAGAGAAATTCTGGAAAACTTTGACCAAAAAATAAACCATTCTAAATATCTGCCTAAAAAGTTTTTCAACAAGTTTTACGAGTGGGTACTGGCTCATTGGGTAATATTATATGACTATTAAGCGGGAAAAAATGGATGTAAAACTGGTGTTTGTGGGACATCGACAAGGGTTGTGTGGTTAGGTTGATTTTAACAATGCCAGCAAAGGAAGCTATGTTCTAGACTACATATACAGACTGAATGGTATATTGTGCTGTTATGACTAGTCTGTGATGCCTTTCCTTAAAATCTTAGCATTAATCTGCAATGTGTTTACATTGGACAACACTGGACACAAATATCTGTAGAGATATGCAGTTGAAATTTTTTTATACTAATGTTCAGTTTACATTTTTTTGCTAAAAAACAAATATGATGGGGGTAATAAAGGTTAAAATAGCTGAGAATTGAAGGAACTGTTAAGTTTTCAATAGACACTTGAGGTCTACTGATGTTATCCAGACGGATCAGCTGAGAAACCATTTAACATCTGATGGAGAAGTCGTAAAGGTCATGGCTGGAATAAAAACATTTCACCATATGAGGTCAAAATTATTCTTTTGTTCTCCTGGGGTCTGAACATGGTGAACAACCTGACCGATATCCATAAAGATTTTTAGAATACCCTAAGAAAATTATTAAATTATTAAAATTACTTTTCGCTAAAATCTTCTTGAAATGGACCTATAATCGCCCTGGAAGTAATTATCTAAGTTGAATTCCGCGCCAGTGTGAGGGAAGTTACGTGTTCAAGAAAGATATAGGGAGGAACTAGTTCTATGGGTTGCCAGCTGAACCCTGGTAATGAACAAGGTCCCCTGCAGGAATCCAGGAAAACATTCACAAGAAAAAAAGTCACAGAAAAAAGGCACTTAAAAAACCTAACCTAACCTAAAGTAATTTAACCTAACCTAAGTGCAAATAAATATATAAATGCATGGCTCCAAAACATGTTCACGGAAAACGCAGGAGCACAGGAGGAATAACATAAACCTGATATTTAATTTCTTCCCGTTCATGTGACTTTGGTATGTATGACAAAAATTTTTAATTAATTTTTCGCTAACAACGCAATTAACAGTGGGGAGCAAAATTTAAGAAATACCCATATTAGTTAGAGACGTAAAATAACCTGGGAGAGAATTAAACGTTCGTATGCAATGAACACTAAAATATTTTCTACACTCCAAATGGTTTTTTACATGTGAAACCTTAAAGTCGATATTGGAACTCTGATAAACAAATCATTCAGCTTTATTGTGCGCTGCTGATGATAAATTTAGATTCTAATTATATAAAAAAAATCCCATGGAGAAGTGTTCAAGTTATATCATCCTTGCGAGGACTATTTTTTAATGGTGTACCATTTCCTATACAGCTTCCTGAATGAAAAAGATGTAGTAGGTAGTAGGCAGCTATGAAACAGGGAGGTACGTCCGCCTGTGAGGATATTGGGAGCATAATGTGTTGTCTCATGGCAGACCCTGCTGCCATATGGCATCACGAAAATTGTGACCATTTACACATAATTGCAGGGTTTCAATAATTGTTTTTCTTACTTTTACAACACAACATACATATAATAATAATAATAATAATAATAATAATAATAATAATAATAATAATAATATTATTATTATTATTATTATTATTATTATTATTATTATATTTTCGCCCCCTCCCGTTGACAAATGAGGGAGCTTAATGCCGTATTAATAGTTAAAATAGTTACGTTAAAAAAGAGTACGTTTTCTTAAAGTACCGTGAATGTATTCTATAAAAAGGAAGCTTATCAAGAGATGGCGCAGCAGTCAGGGGCTGAATGATGAACTAGTTTCTCTCTATACATATACTGTATGTCTTGCCTGCGTGTGATGACGCTTATGTAAACACTTTCAACTTTTAAAGATGGAGTCAACTGGACAGAACTCGTCAGCTACAAGCAAGCCAATTTCTGGTTGAAAGTCCAACTGGATTGGCGATCAAAGGTTACTGTTGGTGCAGCTCGTTAATGAGAGAAAATCTGTTATAAAGAAGTTTGGGCAGAGGTAATAACTTCCCAGATTAAGAAAGAAGTAACCGCTCACCTCAATGGTGACTTCCACAGGTAAGGAATATATAGTATTGGCACAGACTTTAATGACAATAATCAACAATTAACTAGGTTATAATAGTTGTATGAGCTGTTTATGCCTACAAATTGATGTACTGTAAATAAAAATGTTCGTCATTTGCACATAAAAATACATACATACTGTACATACATACAGTACATACATACTGTACATACATACAGTACATACATACAGTACATACATACAGTACATACATACTGTACATACATACTGTACATACATACTGTACATACATACTGTACATACATACTGTACATACATACAGTACATACATACTGTGAAAGACAAAAGTCTGGTCTCGGTTTTGTCCAATGATTACATACATCTAGCGAATCATAATGGCATCCTTGCCACAACTACAATTTGGTAGTTGGCAAGGCTAACTCCAATGAACAGGGGCGGATCCAGGAATATCAAAAGGGGGGTTCAAGAAAATTGTGGGTGGAGGAACATGGCGAGCAAACCGAGCCCACCCAGCTGGGGGGAGCTTTGGAGGGGTGCTGTAAGCCCCCCCGAGATTTTTTTTTTTAAATCTGACTATATATCATGGTCAATTTAAGGCCATTTTGAAGTCACGTGCACTTGATATTAAGAGATTCTCAAGTCAATACCAATTACTTTTTACTATTCAAAAATGCCTGAGTACAATACTGCATTAAAGAAGAAGTATTGCAATTTTCTGATGAAAAGGTGGTGTCCGGACCCCAGGACCACCCCTGGATCCGCCCTTGGTGAAGCCTTGGCTTATATACGGTTGGTGACCGTCAGCTGTTTGGTAATTACAGAGGATATTTTTAGACAGTTTTGTATGCTGATTACTTTCACTTCTATTCATTTTCTTAGGCAAATGCTTAGTTTTGAGAAATAGGCGAGTTAAGATAACATCTTACAGTCGCTTCACCTGTGATGGGGCAGATATGTAAACAATGTACCGTGGCATCAGCGGTTCAGTAATCATGAGGGACGTGGCATCAGCAGTTCGGCAATTATGGGGGTGTTATTAGATACAGTTTTGTACGCTGATTACTTTCACTTCTATATTCATTTTCTTGTGCAAATGCTAAGTTTTCTAGATATAAGCGAGTCAAGATACAAGTTAGGTTATCTTAGATTTCGTTAGGTTAGCACATGATTTCAGCCATTTTTATATTTTTCCCAACATAATACAGTGTTAAATAATAAAATCAGTGAAAACTGGGTACCTTTAAAGCCATTTTCAGTGAAAAACAGTGGACAGTCATTATCCGAATAATTACCAAAGCCTCTTTATGTATTACTGGTCCAATAAAGGTTGGAATAATCCCAGGCGATTTTACAGGTCCATATCATTGATCCTTGAGAGTTACGTATCTCACGGCCGGAGTATAAATCACTCTTCCATTGACGGAGGTCGTCTTGTTTACAATTATTTAAAACTCTGGTTGTAAACACGACAACCCCCAGAAAGGGGTGATTTAAACCCCGGGCGTTACTATCATAGGTGATTGAACTACAGTGGGCTAATTAAATTTATAACTAGAATGGGCCAATATACGAGACGTGGCCGTCAGCGGTTCGGTAACTATGGGAGGTGTTTTTAGACAGTTTTGTATGTTGATTACTTTCAGTTCTATCATTTTCTTGTCTAAATGCTTAGTTTTCTATATATAGGCGAGTTAAGATATAGTTTAGGTTAGCACATGATTTCAGCCATTTGTATATTTTTCCACAACGTAATACAGTATTCCCTAAGAAATTAAATGAAAACAGGATATTTTTAAACCCATTTTCAATGAAAAAAAAGCGGACGGTCACGTCCCGAATAATTACCCTAGAACAGTGTCCCCGACCTGTAGTCGGCTCCCGCGGAACCATATTATGGAGCCCGAAAGGTTT